CGCTGCCCTCCCCGGTGAACCTCGACACGGGCAGGAGCTTCTGCGTTCCGATGAAGATCTTGTCGCCGTTCTTGAAGGAGGAGGCGTTCACGCCCGTGTCGGGCTTGACGGTGAACATGACCCCGTTGACGGGTCCGAGGATCTCGTCAACCTTGCCCACCTTGGTCTTGTTGTCGAGGTACGCGCCGGCGTTGAAGTACGGCACCATGCTGTTGGTCAGCTTGTACACCATCTCGTCCTCGCAAGGGTGCATGAACTCGCCCAGCTCTGATCCGCGGTCACCATCGTTCGTTTTGTTGTTGTTGTTGTTCGCATCACGGTAGGACAGAAGAGGTTAACACATGGCGCGGACGGGGGGGGGGGGGGGGGGNGGGGGCGGGGGGGGGGGGGGGGGGGGGGGGGGGGGGGGGGGGGGGCGTACAGTTACACGCACGTTGTACATGCGGTCATGAAACGGCATTGCGGGTTTATCCGGAAACAACAAGCCGACTTCCAGAGGGTGGCGGCGGAATGGGGTGCGTGGAATTTCGATGCATGCTTCCCCCTTTCCCCCCATAATTCGAAACGGCTCATGCTGTAAGTGCGCAGATTGAGAGGCCGCCGTGCTGTCTTGAAACACGCAACGGCTGCAGCGCGGCAGGCGTCCTCCGAACTGACACCGAATTAAACGCCGAGAATCTTCTGTACCTTGCGAACGACACCGAAGAGGAAGCGTAAACTCGGAGACAAACAAAAACTACGCATGTACATCACTCCTATTTATATCTCAACCTGTCAAGTACCCACAGGGTTGCGGAAACGCCCCAACAGTCAGTCAACACCCTGAACAAGCCCACAACAATCGAAAGGCCTAGCCGTGCTTTCCACCCCACACCACGTGGTCCCCATCGCTCTTTGCGTGTGTAGACTACGAGGAGAAAGCGGCGGGTGGAACGGCCGTCGCAATATACACGGACTAGTTTTGCTGCTGTCGTGGGGGCCGTGCGCTACGACACTTTCGACACAAGATGGGCAAGGTGCCCCCGCAAGTCTTGCCGCCGCAAACAAGCGCTGGCCAAAGGGAGCCGAAATCAAACGATTAGAATAGGTAGTCACCGCTTGCTAGTCTTGATGGTTTGCTTTACTATTGCAGTCAGCGCTCCATAGTGCAATGGTTTCATATCGGTTTCAGTAGACCGTCCGAAACCGCACCGTGTGTACAAACACGCCGCTGTTCATTCTCGTATCTATCGTTCGAGCCCCTTACTCGAAACAGACTCCCCCTCGAAACGAACAAGTGCGCCGACGTGCACCTTGGTGGCCATATCACCAACATAGGCCCGCGACGTTTAACGTGACCTTCTGCCGGCATTTGGCTTTTACGCATACAGCGAATGCGGAAAATGCCAGACCCTTGGTGAAGGTGAATGTTCGGTATCATCTGATTTAACATCAGTCCACGAACTCATAGGAAAAACGGCTTCGCGTGGGCAAGATAAATCTTGTGTCAAAGTCGCAAAACCAGCGTACCTCTTCGTTGGTGGCACATGGCACGCCCGGACCGTTTAAGCATAGACGATGACTCCAAGCGCAATCACACGGCAATCCAGTCAAGAAACCGGATGTTCCTGTCTCTCTGTCTCTGTCTCTGTCTCTCACCTACGATCTCATCCGGGGGCCCGTCGTCGTAACCCCCCCGCCCGCCACGCCCCCCTCGCCCGCCCCGTCCGCTGAATCGCCCCCCCCTGCCGCCGCCGCGGCTGCCGCCCATCCGCCCGCCCCGGTCACCGCGTCCTCGTGGAGGCCTCATT